CAGGAGACCTGCGGGTGACAGAGGGAGGGCTGGCTCCCCAGGAGAGGAGCAGCAGTCACAGAGTATGCTTGAAGACTTGAGCTGCCAAAGTTTGTAAAACCAGAAGAACACAACATTTTACAGGCTCTTCAAGCTTAATGTGCCCCTCTTGGTCATTTCTGCTGATGCATTTTTGGTGAGGCCCCCCAGAACATAGGGGAGGCTTTGCATTCCACTGCACATCGAGCATGTGTCCAGGCTGTATCAGTGTGGTTGTGCTGCCCATTCTAGCCCCAGTTCCAGGTGCTGGCCATGGAGGAGGCTCGATGCTCCTGGAGACCTCTGATGGTGACAGCCTGCTGTCACAGCCTTGGAGTGTTGGCACAGTGCTGCTCTGGGGCTGCCTGGCCCATCTGTGTGCTGGATGAGAAAGCTGCACACGTGGTACTACAGCATCCATCAAGGTTGGGCAGCCCCTGGGAAGGCCTGAAAGGAGGCATGGACTCTTTCTAGGAGGAAAAGAAGATTGCTTGCAAGCTGGGAAGGTGGTTTGGGGACAGATTATGGCACTGCTGGACAAATTCAGCAATAGGGTGGCAAATGACATGTGTGCTGGGTGCTTGGGGGTAGAGAAGAGGCAATTGCACCTGGAGATGTGTCCCATGAGGGATAGACAGCATCATAGTCCAGGACCACCCCCTCCTGCTATTCCCAGGAGTCTGAGCATGTGCTTTATTAAAATAAAGCTCCAACTTCAGCTCCTTTCTGCAATGGGTTGAGGGGTCAAAATCTGCCCTTCTTAATATTTGTGTTCATGGAGATTGTGTTACTGACTGAACGCTGCCCAGGTTTGTGGTGAGAGGTTGTCGGAAATCTCTGCCCAGGGACAAACACAGAATTTGTGGGTTTGGTTTTTTCCCTTCCCTTTCTTTGCCAGTTTGTTGGGGGCATAAGTAGAAATGATGGACGCTTTTGCTGAAGTGCAAATGGAAACAACGGGGAATTCTATATGGCTCTGCCAAACCCCATTCACAAAATGAAGGAATGCAAAGGCGTTTGTTGGAAGGACAAAAAGGGAGTTAGATGACAGATCACGCTTAGCACTTGTGTTTGTCGAGGGCTCCAGTTACTGGAGAACACAAAAGCCAGGGCTGGCACTGAGTGTTGTCACTTCACACAGCAGCAAAGTCAATATCCCAGACAGGCAGGGATGGGGAGAGAAGGGGAGGCCGAGTAATGGGTTCCCAGGGAAGATCCCGGCTGTGGAGAGCTGCTGGGAGCTGCCTGGAGGTGTTAGGGTCACATCAGTCTGGCATCCCTCAGGGGAGGAAGCAGGTTGGCACCAGGAGGAGCTCAGCTCTGGGCAGTGAATTCACAGGCTCTGGTTCCTGTGTATTCCTGTCCCCACAGTCAGGGGGACAGGGACCAGTGGTTTGGGACCCTTCAGCCTCTGCCTGCAGATGCCAACTTAACCCCCTGAGAGGCGGTGTGAGGTGTCTGCAGGAGGTCACCCTGGCTATGCTGAGCTCCATGCCCACCTCCTGTGCACTGCAGGTCGGAATGGCCCTCCTGGAGACATCCAAAGAGGAGCTGTAGGTGCCAGATGAGCAAATATCGAATGCAGGCTTTTATGGATCCAGCTCCCCTGCTACACCTCCCAGTAGACCAGGATGGTCTAAGCCCTATCCAACCTGGCCTTGAACACTTCCAGGAATAGGGATTTAATTTTTCCTTACTTAATATTGACATTTTCTAGATCACTCTGTTTTCTTACTGCTTTTAAATGACCTTAAGAATGGATTTCTATGGGCCATATCTCTTTGCCTGCTCAATTCTTTCCCTTTAAAATGTAGTTGCTGAATGAGGATTAAAAACTAATAGTATTTCAATTGGTTCAGAAACTTTGCCCTTATCACACTGGGGTTTGCAGCACTGCCTGTGTACAAAATCTTTGCCTGGAGGTGTAAGTCAATACCTCGTTTATACTGCAGGAGAGGAGAAGAAAAGGACTGAGCAGGGTCAATATGGGGACATCTACATAGTTGTGTGTTTCCATTGCTCTTGCCAGAAATGGAGGGGGAGTGGAGAAATGCCATCATTTCCAGAAGCCCCAGAAGCTCCACAGAGGAGGTTACTGCTATAAAATAAGATTTCTGCCCCAAAAAGCTGGGATGGAATTGATGCACAGTACAATTTAAAGCATCAGTTTATAGGTTGTGATTTGCTTCCTGTTGTCTGTCAGAACTGCTTGGGTGTCTTACAGAATATCACCTCCAGTCACGTGCAAAGGATCTTAAGCCACATGTACATTTTCTCCTTTTTAAGATACACTGTCTGATCTACAGCTAGAAATGCAGATTTGCTTTTCTTGAAAAGCAATTTTCAGCCTCCAGCTGGCTTTGTGGTCTTTTGAACAGGAAGAAAGTACACCTGAATGGAGAAAAATGGTGGGGAATTGTTTTTCCACCTTGAAGTAATGCTTGCAATTTCAAAGCCATTTCCCCACTGTAAATGAGGAAGAAAATAAAATAAAAAATTAAATGCTTCCATGGGCCCTTGAAATATTTCTTTCAGCTTCAACCTGCCATCAGAACAAACAAGATGTCAGAATCATTTGGACTTCTTATTTTAACGCAGGGCAAACCTTTTAATTAAAAAAACGCTGAAATTGCTCCAAACCAATTCCAGAAATAGTAGGGAATTAGCTGATCACAATTATTTTACAGGTTGCCTCAGCTTTGTCAAACTGGCACTTCCTTGAGGATAATTTGTGACCAAGTTTACCCTGAAGGCTGTGTTGTGTTCCTGTTGTCCTCAGTTCCGTGCAGGGCTTTATTCCAGCACTTGTCTGGTTAGAATTAGAATTAGAAGGGAATAAGGGTGTTTGTGCTTCTCTGTCCCTCTCTTGCACTTCTCCGTGGACTTCTGGCACTGGTCAGTTCCCGTGGACTGATCCACAGGAGTTTGCCAAAAGTAGGGAAGTAAAATTAAGCTGTAGTCAGTAAGTTCAGTTTGCTATAAAGGGAGTTTGTGTCTGCATTGGAAAACTTAAGGCTCATGTGAGCTTACATCATGTGTGCTGTGGGGCACCTCTACACCCAGGGACTGCAGCAGTGGTTTGGCTTGGAAGGGACCATAAAAGTTCATCTTCATTCCACCCCCTGCCATGGGCAGGGACACTTTCCACTATCCCAGGCTGCTCCAAGCCCTGTCCAGCCTGGCCTTGGACACTGCCAGGATGGGGCAGCCACAGCTTCTCTGGGCAACCGGTGCCAGAGCCTGCCCACCCTCACAGGGAACAATTTCTTTTTAATATTGATTCTAAATCTTCCCACCTTCAGTTTAAAGCCTTCCTCTTTGTCCTGTCCCTCTATGCCCCTGTCCAAAGTCACTCTCCATCTCTCTTGGAGCCTCTTCAGGCACTGGAAGGTGCTCTAAAATCTCTCTTGAGCATTCTCTTCTCCTGGCAAACAGCCCCAGGATCCTGTTTGTGGTATTCACAGGCCCTATGAATAAAAGAAATAAACACCTTTAGTGGTACCTCTTGATAGAGTCTTAGTGGAAGTCATTGCTCATGGGAAAAAGCTGAGATAAAGGCAAGGTGGGTTTGATAGCTCTATATAAGGAGAAAAATCTTCTTTACCCTCGCTACTCAAGCTGCTTATGCAGCTCTGTCCCTGCCGAGCTGTAACGGAAAAAGAGCCTGCATTAAAAATCCTGGGATAATTAACAGCCCCATCACTCACACGGCTGCCATTTGGAAGCTGCTTTTGCTTTTTCCATTAAGTTGGTAAATTTTGCCAAAGTGTTTTTCTTCAGCGTTTTGGCACCCGGCCCCGCTCTCAACTCAACGGTGTTGGCCATGAGAGGGGTCCAGGAGAAGGGCTGGGGCCAGCTGGATCCCACACTGTGCATTCATCTGCTTTATAGCCCGAGAGTGTCGCTGGAATGAAATTACGTGCTGCATTTTCCCCCAGGACTCGCTCTCCTCATTGTGTCAGTCAACAGGGAGTTTGGTTTGTGATGGTACCACTCAAAAAATCCAAAAAGTGGACGTCAGTGTGTTGTGAGCAGCAGTGGTTGTGTGGATCTGATCCTCACCAGATCACAGGTTCTTAAGGGACTGCTGCTGGTGATGACCCCCCTTCCCTGCCCTCCTGTGCTCTCATCAGGCAGTCAAGCCCAGATGATGATACTCAGTCAGGTCTTTGCTCCATGCACACTTGCAGCTGTGTCCACATCTCAAACTCTGTTGGAGACGAGCACAGAATTTCAGGTTGTCTTGTGAAGTGGATTTTAGCCTCTCTCATGCAAAAAAAAAAAAAAAAAATTAAAAAAAATACTGCCAGAGGTGGGCATGAAGAATCATCCTATTCAAAAATACTGCCAGAGATGGGCATGAAGAATCATCCTATTCTGGTTCCCTTCCTCCACTCCCTGAATGTACTGGACAGCAGCTCTCCTTGGACCTGGCAGTGCCTTCAGCCTGACAGCTGTGTCCCAAGGGATGGAGCTGTCAGAAAAGAACCAAGGCTCCCCAGCTGGAGCTCTCTGGAGCGTGGTGAGAGTTTCCTGGTTAGGATATGGCTGGTTGTAGGACATGGCAAAAGAGCAGCAGGATTGGGCTATTCCTGGATGTTCTTTCATAAACTAAAGCAGTCCCAGCACTCCTGAAATGCGCAGCCCGGTCAGGGTAATGGAAACAGCAAAGGAGGACATGGATTGCTTCAGCTCATTTATTTCCCAGTTGATGTGGAACCACTCCAGTATTTTATCTCTTCAAACCTTAAAATGTTAGTTAGTGGCTGGATTCCTGGATGGCTTTTTACACTGAAGGCCAGGTTTCCCCACTGATGTAAATCACTGTGGCTTTGGTTTAGCTGTGGGAAAGGGTCTCCTGCACCAGGGAGGACTGGCCCAGGGTAATACATTGTCTCAAGATGCTTTCTTGGGCTAAAGCTGAGGCTTGATGGCAGGAGAGGTGTGGTTAGATGTATCACTTGTGTGTCAGATGTGGAGAGATGGGCAAGCTGCACTTTGGCTTTGCACAGCCCGGTGATCACACTGGCTGGGCTGAAGTGACAACCTGTGCGTGTCCCACACTGCTGTCTCCTCCTTTCTGTCAGTTCTTCCAGCAACCTTTGCTGATGAAGCTGTTAAATATCCTTTCTAGAAGATGAGGGAATTCAATCTTCAAACTTTCCAATGACAGATTTAAGTGAGCCTAACCAAGGAGTTTCCCATGTTCTTTAGCTGGCTACAAATCAAGGAAGCTGATGGGTGAAGAGGGGGTGTAGCTACCTTTCTGGTAAAAGGTTTTTTCCCTGAGCTGCTGTTTTCAGTGGCACTTGAAGGCTTAAAGCTGAGCTAACAGAGAGGTTTGTCAGATTCCCTCTCAGGCGTGAAAGGGTCTGTGAGAGCACAGGGTTGGAAGTCCATGGATCTCTCACTTTCTAAACCTTCCTGCCATACCAGGCTTGTGAGGAGGTTCTCAGTGGCTCAGCACAGGGTGCTGAGTGGTCAGAAGCTGCCCCCATCTTTGCAGCTGGGTGTAAAATGAGAAACAGATCCACGTGGGATTTTGCATGCTTAGGATATTGTTAAGCACACAGTAAAGCATTAGGGCTCAGGAATTGTTTGCTGAGGTGACAGGACACTGAGTGTCAGCCCATTTCCTACCTGTGTCCCCACAGCCCTGCAGGTGCACTCCTGGCAGGGCTTTAGGCCTCCCAGCTTTGAATGATTTCTCCATTCTCTTGCATTTCTGGTGGGGTGAGTGCCAAAGAGCAGCAGTAGCAAAGGCACTGATTGACCCAGCAGCGATGACCCTGCCTCTCAAAACACTGCTCCTTGTTCAAGGCTCCTAATACCATTGGGAAACCTCTCCACGAAGTTCAGTGGGCTTTAGATGACTTTGAAGCAGAAAAATAAGGTCTCAGCCAGAATCTGCTTCCTGGAGTCATGCTGACACTCTCACTGCCTTTGCTAGTCTTGGGACCAAGGAGAAGACCTTTAGCAATGGAATTGGTTTTGTTACTGCTCTTGTAGAAATGCATTGTTTTTTTTCTTCTCTTCCAATTTTAGGGGATTCTGCTTTCTCTGGACTATATTGTGTTTTACCTGGTTCCTGGGATTCACACAGGGAAATTCTGAAGGTAAATTACTTTTTTTCTTTGTTTCTCTTTCAACAAAAGTAAAAGTCAAGTGCTATGGTACCAGTGTAGGATTATAACTTAGTAATCAATGTCTGAGCCCAGAGCACAGTTAGATGCATTTATTGAGATGGTTGCAGTATGGATGATATAGATGGTGCAGTTAACAGCTGGCAAAAGAACCAGGTTTTGTACAGGTGATTACGTGTCCCACGGGATTTTCAGTCTGTCTGTCTGGTGGAACTGGTGGGAGTGAAGCACTTTGTGTCTAAAATGTCACTGGCGTCTACCTGCACTTGCCAGAACTTAACTGCTTTTAGAAACTGCCCCTTGGGACTGGGGCTTTATGGAATTAAATGTCTCTGGCAGACAGATTTTTCTTTGACTTTGGTGCACCCCAGGCGTGCCCCTGCCAGCACAGAGGATGTCAGGCATACAGAAAAAATGTGAGTTCTAAAGGTGAAAGCAAATTTAAGGGAGGAAAATCCCACAGGGTTGGTTGAAAATAGAATGACTGTATCTGGTTCAATCCCTGTGCTGTAAGGCAATATTCTATAGAAGAGTGACACCTTCAGCCTGTCCTTATCACCCCCCTGGTGCTGCCAGGAGCAGGACTAGGCTGAGGTACAATAATCAATGACCCTACAAAAGAAGGTGAAAAGCTTCAAAATCAACAGAAACACACAAAAAAATAACTCATCTTTAACAGCTGGTAGTGGGTGCTGAGCATCTCTGCAATATCTGTTTGTGAAGGAGCCTTCTCCTCTTAAAATAGCAACACCTTTCCCACATGGATGCTTTACACGGCTGTTTGCTGGAAGTGAACAGCTTCCCCTGCCGTCAGCAGACAACACTAAGTGGACTAGCAGGCTCCAGGGCTCTCATCTCAGTCTCTAAAACATGAAGGAAAAATAGAAATTTGGTCAACACTCAGCTGTCAGCCAGCCCATGGACCACTTTTTACTGGGGGAGGGGGGGGAGAGTAGATCCCTGCCATCAGCAATTTTGAAAAATGTAATATTTTCCAAATTCTGCCTCCATACAAAGGAGGTGAACATCTGGCTGAATTACTTAGTCAATTTGCTTTGACTCTCCTGCCTTTTGGCTTCTTTTTCTTATACAGCTTTTTGTGTGGGAAAGGGGGAGGGAAAGAAAGAGATGGGAATGAGAGCAATAAAATATTTTTTTTCCCCCATTTTCAGAGATGATCTTGTGGTTGTTCAGGAATCTCTGTGTATCTCACTTCATAGACAGTATGATAGAAGAGTTTTTCCCAGTTGCTCAAAAGTTGCTACAGGAATGTTGTTACTAGCTTTGAGGCACCTGGGATCAGGCAGCTCTAAGTGAATGTTCTTTTTAAATAATGTGTTTTGATGGAAAAATCCCCAGAGGAAAAAGTTTGAAGGGGAAAAAATCCTCTGCGAAACTTGGAGCTGCTTCAGGAAGTCAGAATTACCTTGCATTTTACATTAGTTGATGACATCCCGTATCCCAGGAGATGTGCCCCAACAGCCCAGGACAGTTGGATGGGATGGAGAGGAGATGGGATGGAGAGGAGATGGGCTTTTTGCACAGAAGCCCTGAGCTCTGTGCCTGGACCTAGTGCTGGAAAGTCCACATACGTGTCCTGCATGAGGGCTCTTTAATCGGATTTTGCGTAGGCCTCCAGAGTTTGGCTCCACCTTAGTGGGTTTTGAGGGAGAGGAGTGTTTGGGTTGTGCTTTTTTTCCTTGAGCACTCCTGGATGCCGTTGCTAACGAGGCACTTGGATTGGGATTGCAAACAGCAGCAGCATCCTCTGAGCAGGGAAATATCAGAGCAGCTACCAAATAAATAACTCCTGGAGTGTGCAGCATCCCTAGCAGAGACAGCCCCTGTCTGCCTCTGAGGGAGAACCTAAAAATACACTTAGAAATTGGAAGCTGGAGACTAACTGCTTGCTTAAGTGGTAAATTTATTTCCTTAGGGATAAATCCTGATGCCTTTGAAGTCTGTGGCAAGGGTCCCACTTCAGTTCACTAAAGCCAAAGGCTTTGGCCTTTGCTGTTTCATGGGCTCTGGAGATTATCCAGAATGAAGACACTGCCATGATTCCTCTGCTCAGTGCAGAGAGGGGAAGGCCATGCTGAGAGACAGACCTGTTGGACAATATGGAATAAAAACAGTGGGGAGCCAGGGATTTCAGAGTATGGGAGAAATACTGTCGTTAACACTTGAACATGTTGTGCGATAAATTACTCCTCTGCACAGAGTGGGAATGTTTCCATCCTTTTCTACATCTGACACACCTTCTCCAGGGTAGTGTCTGCTAGAAAATGAGTCAAGCTGCTTTAAAAAAGGAAGGTGGGAATAAAGCAAAACTCAAGCAAAGTAAATACCAGTTCACTCGTTCTTACATACAAAAATGGCTGAGGTTTTTGCCAAAGTCAAGGAACAGAGGTTTTCTCATCGTTCTTCCTTCCTGGCCAGCAGCATTACAGGTCTCAGACTGCTTGAGTCTACAACTCTTCTGGCCAACACCAAGGGGCTCTTTAAGTGCCAGTTCTCCAAATACTGTGCTTTGTGCAGAACATTTAATAGTTAAGGCTGAAAGCAGCCAAATACCAAGGCCCCTTTAGAAAAGGAGCTTGTGGGTTTTCTTTTTCCTTTGGAGGGCTGTTGATTTAATTTTAATTGAGGAAAGTTGCAATCCCATGGCGTTAGCAATGATTGGAGCCACCACCTTTCTGAGTGTTAAACTCTTGCCTTGCAACATTAGCATTTGGGTTATACAGCCCTGACTGGCTTCCCCAAAGAGCAGTGAAGTGAGAGAGTTAGCTGGTCTGGGAGTGATGGGGAGGAAGTGCAGTTATCCTAGCTCACTGTCAACTGGCGTCACAGGAATCATGATCACCTTCACAGGCTCATTTGGGTTGGAAAACCCTTAGAGTTATCAAATGCAACTGTTAACCCAGGTAGATGTCCCCAGGTGCCACATCTAATGTCTTTTGAATACTTCCACGGATGGTGACTCCACCACTTCACTGGGCAGCTTGTTCCAGTGCTTTACAAACCTTTTGGTGAAGAAATCTTTCCTACTCTTCATTCTAACACCCCCTTCCCTCCACCGCCAGCACAACTTGAGGGCTTTTCCTCTCATCCTATTGCTAGTTACTTGGGAGCAGAACCTGTCCCCCACCCGAGTAAAAACTCCTTTTAGGGAGTTGTAGAGTGAGAAGTTCTCCCCTGAGCCTCCTTTTCCTCTAGGCTGAGCTCCTTTAGCTGCTTAACACAGGGCCTTTTTCAGGTCTGGGCACATTTACCTTTGCAGCTTTGCTCACGTAGACCTCGGCATCTCCTCCAGTTAACTAATTCAGCTGAGGCTGCTGCCAGCTGGCCCCAGTTTGTGTAGCTGTTGCCTGCTAATCTGAGCTGTGAGTGACTCCTGATAGACCTCAGGGGCAGAAAGCAGGGGATTCTGTCCATTGCAAATTCCTCCTGGAGCTGGGGGAGAAAGATCCTCTGGGTCTCAGTCCCTTTCCTCCAGTCCTGAGCACCTGGCTCCTAGGTGACATTATACAGGAGGCAAATCTTAACCTCCACTACTCAGTGGCTGCCGTAACCTATTTCTAAGCTCTTCACAAACCAAGTCTGGTTCCAAACTATTAAAATAATTTAATGCTGTAAGATGATCTGCTGGGAAAAAAAGTACTACTGCTGAGAGCCTTGAGCAGTTCACTGAAATCTAGGTGCAGTTTTTTCATGCTGGGAGGCACCTGCAATTTCCTAAACTCTCCAAAGATCAAAAGCTGCTGCTTGGTAGCTTGGAGAAAGACAGAGACAGATCTTTTGCTCCCTTTGGAAGTTTTGTTACTTGCCCTCTGGGGATATAAAATTTTGCAATCCCAGCTCAATCTGTTCGAATTCCTTTCCAGCTATGTGGTCAGTACTCAGAATTAAATCCCAGGAAGAGGACTAGTGGTGCTCAGTGGGAAATTTCCTTGTAGTGAGGTCAGCTCCCTCCAGAACATCTGAGCTGGTCCCTGGTGGGACAGGAGAACTCACCAGATGCACCATGGAGCTGATGCATTTTGGCAATTGCTGGTAATCACGTTGAGCATGCACTTGCTCCTCACACAATGTGAGAAGAGTTCTCTGTGCTGGCTATGGGAATAAATACATGAGAGGGTGGGATTAGATATGTGAGCTGGGACTTCCTGTATCCTGTTACCTTTGTGCCTGGATTGGTTTGATTTCCCTCCACACCTATCTAGCCCTGGGGTCGCCCAGCACCTGACATAATCTTTGTGATTCCCTTTCAGATGTGGATGTTCTTCAGAGACTGGGCCTGTCAGGGAAAAGGCCATCGAGTGGATGGTCCTCCTCACGTGTAGTTCCTCAAGGAGTCATTCCTTTCAAATCAGGGGTCATCTTCACTCAGCGAGCCCGTGTCGAAGCACCGCTCAGCACCCTCCTCCCCGCAGGCTCCACCTCTGACCTGCTGCTGGTGCTGAGCCTCTGCTCCCACCGCATCAACAACGCTTTTCTCTTTGCTGTCAGGAGCAAAAAGAAAAAACTGCAGCTGGGGGTCCAGTTTGTGCCTGGGAAGATCATCGTGTATGTGGGCCACAAGCGCTCTGTATATTTTGATTACAATGTCCACGATGGCCAGTGGCACAATATGGCCATCAACATTCGTGGCCAGACAGTCACTTTATTTACTTCTTGTGGGAAGCGCAGAGTACATGCGGATTTGCATTTTAAAAAGGACGAGGCGTTGGATCCACACGGATCTTTCCTCTTTGGGAAGATAAGCCAGCACTCCGTGCAGTTCGAAGGAGCCATCTGCCAGTTTGATATTTATCCTTCCGCCAAGGCAGCTCATCATTACTGTAAATACCTGAAAAAACAGTGCAGGCAGGCAGATACCTACCGGCCAAACTTGCCCCCACTCATCCCCCTCCTGCCCAGGGACCCCAGTGCCTCCCCCAGCACCCCACAGCGTACAGAGCCCTTGCTGCAGGGTCTGAAAAACCTGACCACTGCTGCCCCAAATGTGGAGTTTGGCAGGGTCACTGCACCCCTCAAGACGAGGGGTTCAGGTGCAACAACCATCACATTGCTGTCAACCCCACCATCACGGCCGAGACTGACTACCAAGGCCACCAAGGTGACAGTGGCCCCACCTGTTCCGTCGAGTACCAAATCACAGGTACCCACCCTGTGCTCGCTCCCTCAGGGCACAGGGACAGCCTTCAGGGAGGCTCAGCCCACTCCCAGCACACACAGGGAGAAAACTCCCCTTCCCACTGCCAGAAGGGCCCCACCAACGAGCCAGAGCCTGGTCACGGCCAGCAGGAAGGAGTCCAAGCAAGAGACCAAAAAGAAGATCAACCAAAAACCAACCGTGGAGCCCCCTGAAGTGCCCAGCACTGTAAAGCCAATGAGGAGGGTGACTGATAACACAACGAGCAATGTCCACCTTGTTACCCTAAAGCAAAACCCAAGCCGTGGGCCCATCCCAAAGAAGCACGTGCCGTCCCCCACCAGGAGAGTGGATCCCAGTAGCATCCCTCTGGTGTACACCAAGCCACCCCTGGGGTCTGCCCAGCCTGCCTCCAGAGCCAGGGCACAGGCCTTCAACCTCACAACCCCAGTTGCCACCGATGGCTATCAAATCTTTGACCCCTTGGGACCCACTCCGTTTCCATTTGTACTGGGATATCCAGGAGTGAAAGGAGAGAGAGGACCTCAGGTATGTTCAGGCTCCTCATGGTGGCTGTTCCCCGTCACAGCTCGGCTCAAGGGCTGGCGGATCACAGCCTCCAAGGGTTTCTGTGAAGCTTCTCCAAGTGTGGCAGCCAAGCAGTGCTGCATTCCCGATCGTCACAATTTTAGCATAAATCTCAGTTTGAACCCAAGTGTTCAGTGATGGTGGATGTCATGAAATATTTGTGGTTAAAGCTGCTGCTTAATGTTAGCTCTAAAAAAAAAAAAAAAAAAAAAAACCCCTTTTTTTTTTCCTTAAAATTCTGGGCAAAAATTTTATTG